GTTCTGGATTGGTCGACTCTAACCACCCGAAAACATCTCCAGTGCTTTCTGGGGTTTACCAACTTTTATAGACGCTTCATCTGGAACTACAGTCAGACAGCTGCTCCACTAACTCATCTGACGTCAGTCGCTGAACCAGGGGTTACCAACCTTTGTGAAGCTGAGGGCTCCTTCATGGGTATTGAGACACACAAAGAGCTACCAGGTTGACACAACAGTGACCTTACAACTAGAGTAGCGGAGAAGATGAACAGAGGCAGAGCGCTCATCTGCATCTTGCGCACGGCCACAGTAACATTCTCAAAGCGGCGCCACCAAAATGTTTAACACACGATCGTTCATAACTTTCTATTTCAATTCAATTGAAGTTTATTTATATAGCGCCAAATCACGACAAGAGTCGTCTCAAGGCACTTCACGTAGTAAACATTCCAATTCAGGTCAGTTCATTAAGCCAATCAGTAAAATGTTTCCTATGTAAAGAACCCAACAAATTGCATCGTCACTGACTAGTGTCAGAGTCTCTACAGCAATCCTCACACTAAGCAAGCATTTAGGGACAGTGGAGAGGAAAACTCCCTTTTAACAGGAAGACCGCTTTGGTACTTTCTGTCTTTTACTCATGGCTGACGCACATCGCTGCTGCGCTCATCACCCGTGCTACACGGCAGCGGCCAGGCAGCGTTTTTTCTGCATACCTCTAAAACCAACTGGTAAGCTTAAAATAAATTTAGGTGAGGACCACAAAAATGTCGTCACTTTGAAAAATGACCTCATTCTGTTTAAAACCTCATGATGGCCCCCAGTATAAGACCAAACATGAGCATGCGCGCGTGCGCGCGCACACACACACACACACACACACACAGTAATCCAGGAGCAGGTGTGTTACCATGGTGACAGACTTGCAGATTCATTTATCCTTCCCGAAAGATAGAGTTTAATTAAATGAAAAGTGCCGCAGAATTTCACTCAAGCTAAGATCTAGTGGTCAAAATCACAAGAAGCTTTTATTTCTCAATATTGATTAATTATACACTAAATAACTCACATTTTTAAGTCAGTTTCTTGATCCAGTGGGTGCTAAAATGACACTACAGGGTGAATAAATCTGTCTGCCCCCTCTGCTACTTGAGAGTAAATATTGAGCCTCTGGACCTGAAGTCTCACGAGAAGCAGTAACACTTGAATTCATGTCCACAGCTTAGAACCACTAGCCTGGCCTGCCAGACTGGCCTGGTTACTTACAGAGAGAGGCACATGAGGGGCGGGACTAACCAGCTCAAAAATAACCAGTCACAACAAAAGACGGAAATGCCGACTGTACCGCGTGAAACAGTCGTTTTTTTTAGCTGTAGTAAGGGGTGGGGGGGCACCCCCTTTGCTCTCACGGTGACGAAACGGACCCAGGTGGCAGCCTGGCTCTAACCCAGGGAGACTACGTCATATTCGGCCCATTTAGGCCTAGTCCACACGTAGCCGGGGTTTTTTTAAACGAATATCCGCCCCTCCAAAAACTTGCATCCACACCACCTTGTTTAAAAAAAAAACTCTGTCCACACGTACCCGGATAAATACGTTGATAAGGACATGCCAGACCTGTAGGCGGCAGTACTTCCCCCGTTCTTAACCTCGTCCTTCGTCTGTGGTCTTCCGCAAGGAGCAGTAATTCCACTTGCAAAAACAAACAAGCAAAAAGCGCTTGGACGATTGATAAAGCGAGCGCAGCTCTGAGGGCATCCATGCTGTCGGCTAGTGTAAACACAGGTCGCACACGTGATGTCAGCATTTTTTTTGTCACGGAAAGTGACGTTGCGGACCTTAAAACTCCGGTTTTGTCTGTCCACATGCAGACACCCAAAACGGAGAAAACTTCACTTTGGCCGGAGTTTTTAAAAAGATCCGTTTTCGTGTGGATGACAGGCCAAAACGTAGAAAAATATCTACGTTTTGGCAGATCCCCGGCTACGTGTGGACAGGAACTTAGACCAAGCAGGGTTAAAATGCACACCATTTTACCCGATTAACCAGCCAATTGAAGTACAGAAATATAAATGTACTTACTGATAAAATGAAGCTGAGATGGTCTGTTAGTGTATTCAGTACCAGTAATTACATGAGTAACATCCGAACACAAACACACAGAGGACACAACTTAAGTTCAGAGAATCAAAATGGCCAAGCACCAGTAACACAAGGCTGGGGTTGGGGCACTAATTGAGAACCACTGCTTTAATAGAACAGAGATGAGTTGTTGAATATTCTCGTTCATTCAGGACATCAGGACTAGGACCACCAAAAAGGCAACTCGACATCTTCTGTTGCTTTTTATCCGCAAAAAGATTCTCCAGGAAACCTGAATCAGTGGCTGCTGGGAAGCGGCGATTATGTAGAAGAAGCTGTTTCTGAACCATGAGGGGAACAGAAGCCATAATGAAAAGGATTGTGGGCAATGGGGGTCCGTGCAGACAGAGGAGGAGGGGGGCACACTCTGCCAGAGCCAGCGGGTCCAGCTAGGGTTTAATCAGCCTTTCTGTGGAATGTGCTCACTGAAGAAATGAAATGATTAGGACTTTGTGGAAATTGAAACACTGAGAAAACACTTGTTAGAAATGAATTTTTGTTTCTACAGGAGGAGGAAGCGTGCAGCTCAACCAGTTTCTGGACACGTGACTGCTTCCCTGGCAGCTGGAGGTCCCTCACGAGGCTCTTGATCCATCTAGCTCGGAGTGTTTTTGTTTTTAACTAATTCTCTTCAACTTGACAGAAGCTTATTTGTACTCCTTCTGATTTTTTTAACACACCTTGACCTGATGAGATGCTGGGGGCTGCGCCTGTTTCTTTCTCTGAAGAAAGATCTAAATGTCACAGATGAACGCTCCTCTGAAACCTCAGGACCACCGAGTGTTCTGGTGGCAACACCAAACAGAGTTTGACGATAATCTGATCATTTTGTCTATTAACAACATTCCTTAAAGGAGGTTACTGTGGGGGCCGGTCCCCGGGGTCCCCGAATCAGAGCTTTGTAATTGACTTTAAAGTGAAATGAACACAGTCTCCAGAATATTTTATTTTACATGATAAAAAATATTGCTCACAATTTTCTTTGTTGAAAAGTACAAAAATTGCAATAAACTGTTGAAAATAGCATTTAATAAATTATGTAATTAATGTTCGATATCAGACATAATAGATTAAAACACATTGTTTGGCTAAAACAAGTTTAGGGCTGACTCTGCTTCAGTTACCTCGACCTCCCGGGCTTCCGGCATTACTCACATGAGAATCAGCGCATTTCTCATCCTTCTGGATTCCCAGTTTTCCAAAACTGCAATCTGATGTCAAAGATTTCCTCACATTCATTGCTCACTTAGCTGCTGTCTCAGCTGACGGGAATCATGTTGACCAGCAGGTCTGTAACTGATGAACATTGAGCCTTTTAAAATGTTAGCATTGGAGAGGGGGATGCTAGCCGAGTGGTCTCCAGTGGGCAGGAACACAGCGACACACCTCCTCACTGAAGGAGAAACCTGCTTCACACCTCCGTCTTCTTACCTCACAGGGAGGCCTGAGACAACTACACACAGAAACACAGACAAAGAAGATGTTTTACCTAATAACTCAGTCAGAAATGTCAGTAAAACATTCACTTTTTTTGTTTTTGTTTCATTTGATGAATCAGACATATCCCGGCAAAATTATAAATAAATATCCAAATAAATAAATTATTCATACAAATAATTACGGAGTTAAACCAGTAACAGTTAAACTGTGGAGATACACAGTCTTTGCATATGACATTTATTACACTTGGTGCATTTATTCTGAATAAACATGTTGATTTTATGTTGAAAATAATTTTAATGGGTACATTTTTATCTACAAAGGCAGACTCATAAAAAACTAAACAGAATTTTCAATACTAGAAAAAACTTTTACTTAACTTACACAGTCTTTGAAGTTTGTGAAAAATGTCAACAAGTAATTTTTTTGTTTTAAAATTTTACATTAATAATCATCCCCGTAGATTCACACGCAAACTGTTCTCTCTAGATGTGGTGTAATACATTGTTTTGTGTATACATATATTTGATAAACCTTGTTATAAAACAGTTTTTAAAGTCATCTACTGGTTTAAATGAGCTTCTTTTTAAGACTTTCACATCTGCAATTATTTAATTGTAAATCCTTGAAACCCAGCTTGAATTAATTTATATAGCACGTTTATCAACAGCTTGACAACTGATCAAAGGGCTGGACGTCAAATAAAAGGAGACTAAAATAAAAATAGAAGAGTCCAAAGGTAAAATTAATTGTGTAAAACCACATAAGGGAATCCAAGATAAAAGATGACAATTTTAAACATAAGTAAATACAAATACTAAAAACAACATAAAAGGACAAAAAAGTTAAAAACATAAGAGACAATAAAACCTAAAACCCAACAATGACGTTAGTCCTGTCCAAAAAACCAATTACCAAATGCTACGTTGTGGCTTTTTAGGCCAGATTTTAACAGATCAACAGAAAGAGCCGAGCGAACCGAGTGGCAAGCTGTTCCAAAGCTTCGGAGCTGTATGAGCAAAAGCACGCTAACCATACGGAGTTGATCAGCTGAGTGCTGTAGGGGAGAAATTAAATCTTCTATTCATTTTGAAACACAATTTCACAGTCGGATCATTTGTGGGGCCAGAGAAGTTGGGTTGCAAGACGGCCATACACGTTTTTCTGTTTTGCTACAGTTTTCTGAGCGTTCTGCTTCAGAGAGCAGGAGAAGTATACCATAGCCGTAGTTACCATACCATAGTTTATTTATAAAGCTCATTTAAAATGCAGCATGGGAGCTGCCCAAAGTGCTGCACAGGCTAAAACAAAATACAACCAATCTAAGTTACTAAAACAGAAGATATCTCTTGTGAGCACTGCCCAAAGATATGGGCCCAGATCACCTCTACCAATAATACTGCAGGGCCTTCCTTTCTTTTTTTTTGGAAGGGGGGGGGGGGGGGGGGGGGTGTTTCAAGGGGAATATATAGAGCGTGGGGGCCTCTGCTGAGCAGGACTCACTTCTGGAGCTGCTTTGGAAAGAGTCTCTGCGACTATCTCCTCATTTTGATATTGCAATATTGAAATGAAGCCCTTTTGATTTAATCATGGACTGCTTTCTCATTATTTTCTTAGGTTCCTAAAAGAAATTTCACGACAGCAGAGAGACCTAGAGGGAGCATACGAATTGAGGAGTTCTGCTAGGTAACCGGAAGCCATGCTATGGACAATTTTGTAAATTAATTTTAAAAAAAATTGGATTTCACCCTGTAAGCCACTGGGAGCCAGCGCAGCTCTTCCAGAACCGGGGTGATGTGACAGTATTTCTTTGTTCCAGTGAGAATTTTGGCAGCTGCGTATTGGACCTTCTGAAGGCGGCAAATCACGGTCTCATTTACACTGATCAAAAGAGAATTTGGATGTAATGAAGGTGTGGATGACAGATTCCAGATGTTTGTTTCAGGAACATTGTTGCCCAAATCACTCAGTCTTGTCCTCATTCAAACGGAGTTAATTAGGAGATAGCTATGCTTTAACCTAACCTAACCTACCTACCTACCTACCTACCTGCATACCTACACACACACACACACACACACACACACACACACACACACACACACACACATGTATACATACAAAAATATAAACGTAAGGAAAAACCAAACTGTACAAAAGGTAAAAATACAAAAGTCAGGGTCAGCGATGTTGGGGGAAAGCTAGCAGATAAAAGTGAGTTTTCAGGCGAGACTTTAACTCCTGTAGAGAAGGAGCTTGCTTCAATGACAGAGGGAGCTAATTCTAGAGTGTAGGGGCCATTAAGCCTGATTCATGCTTCTCCTTCAGGTCTGCAAGGGACAGACACGCACGGATTGATGGAAGTGTTTTGTTCTCATACTTCCCCGTCTCCTGGGGAGTGTTACAAAGCAATTCCCTGCCAGACAACAGAGGGCGTAGCACTGATCGGAGGTATCCTGTCATGTGTGTGTCAAGATAGTGTGTTTATATTGTGTTTTTTTATATGAGACTTTTTAACACTGACAAATTTGTCTCTCATTCCCCTCCACCTCTTCATGCGCTCGCCACCTCTAAACCCAAGTTTCCTGTCATTTCCGTCCACAAATAAAATGCTTGCTGCGTATCTTTTCACTCCTCCAGTCACGGGGAATCAAACGTTCATGTTTTAGAGTTTTTTCGCAAGGTATTCTTCAAGCTTCTCCATGTCTGCCGCTAGTTATCCTCGGCTCTCTTTATGTTTTTGAGGGCGCAATGGTGGCGGTGTAGACAACAGCGGCGTCCTGACCAGTCACAAGCTTGCGTTCTCCGTCTTGACAGACGGATGGTTAAAAAAGTGGGCTCGACTACATCTGTATCAGACCCTGTGAGGCTCTCGTCATGGAAACTCTAATGTTGAAACAAGAATAAAAAAGAGAACCCATTTCAGTAAAGAACAAGAGGCCACAACAATATTTGACAGATAAAACAAGCAGTAAGCAGTAGCTTACTAGCAGGCTACCATGCTGTTTATTACTCTGTACTGAAAATAATAAATAAATAAATAAATAAATAAACATTTTAAAACATACTTCGTTACCATATGAATAAGTTAAAACAAATTATTAAAGTTAGATGTTTATAGTGTTTATTTTTCACCTACTGGTGACTCCGCCATATTGATAAACGTGAACAGCGACCGGTGAACTGCTTTGTGTTGTTCACTGTGGCAGAGCACGTTCACATATCCGGAGGGGCGCAGCCTAATGATTATACCTGATGGGAGGGGTGAGAGTTCTGGGACCGTGTTGGTGTAAGCTAGCTAGCTGGCCTAGTTTGTTTGGAAAAAGCATTACAGCACCTTTAACTTTGGTGTTTGGAACAAATAATCCAAGAGTTGTTGTTTTAATTAAACTTTAACATTTGAATAACAAAAAGTTAAACATGCGTCAAAAACTGACACCTGCTAAATTGTAAATAAGTCTCCCCCCTTTCCAGTCAGCTCATGGGTCCCCAGAACGATCAAATTAATGCAAGTCAACGAGGCTAAAAACATCATTTTCTAACCCGCTTTGCCTTACGCCCCGGATCGCACATATGTTGTACTCAAGCCTCCACAATGCAGCTCAAAAATTGAGACCAACCCGGAACTACCAAAAATTGCAGTTCCACCCTCATCCGCTGGGGGCTGGTGTCAGAAGTGAGCAAATCCTCATTGACTCCCATGTTAAAAATACCAATTTCACAGCAGAAATAAACATGTTTACAGCCTGGTACCAAAACATGTTTTTGGTTTAAATAATCTAGTTTACACTCATGACAACTCTGAGGGGGGTGAATTTTTTTCTCACTGTTCTGTTTAAGTGTATTAAAAGCCTAAAATTAATAATAATTAATGAGCATCAGACCCATGTGACCGCCGCCTCAGACCTACGTGACCACAGAGCTACCTCCGTGGAAAAGCCTCAGTAGAGCCTCGGTCTGGCTTGGAAAATGTTCCGGGATTTTGAGTCTCTGTGTTTGTGTGTTCTTTTTTGGATATTTTTTGTGCAATTGATGGACAAAATGACTTGCTGTGGCATTAATTGCACTAATAGAGCGTCCAAGGAGTCTCCACTTCATTTTGTTCGGTAAGTAAAATTATATTTATTTATTTTAGGTCACTGCCGAGCTGAGCTTAGATTTTAACATGTACTGTTTAACCATGAAATTGAAATGTAATAGGGTAAAACCCAGTGCATTTAACATAATGCTGCACTTTAGAAAATGGGTTGAAATATAACATGTTGGTGGAGCTGGGTTCCGACTATCGGCTTGTGGAGCTCTTCTCCCCTCCCCGCAGCTCGGCGCATCTCTGTCTGATAGCGGCTTCTGTCTGCTGCGTGCGCTGCCGGCTGGTTCTCCCCGCAGCTCATCACATCTCTGTCTGATCGCAGCTTCTGTCTGCTGCGCGGGCAGCTGGCTGGTTCTCCCCGCAGCTCGGCGCATCTCTGTCTGATAGCGGCTTCTGTCTGCTGCGTGCGCTGCTGGCTGGTTCTCCCCGCAGCTCATCACATCTCTGTCTGATCGCAGCTTCTGTCTGCTGCGTGGGCTGCCGGCTGGTTCTCCCCGCAGCTCGGTGCATCTCTGTCTGATCGCGGCTTCTGTCTGCTGCGCGGGCTGCCGGCTTGTGAAGCTCTGGATGGAAACCGATGTTTTCCACCTGTTCTCCCCTCCCCGCAGCTCGGCGCATCTCTGTCTGATTGCGGCTTCTGTCTGCTGCGCGGGCTGCCGGCTGGTTCTCCCCGCAGCTCGGCGCATCTCTGTCTGATCGCGGCTTCTGTATGCTGCGCGGGCTGCCGGCTTTTGGAGCTTTGGGATGGAAACCTTTCCACCCTGTTCTCCCCAGCGGCAGCTCTGCGCATCTCAGATCGCAGCTGTGCTTGTCTGCTTTGCGGCTGCTGGCTTGTGGAGGTCTCGGAGACCTCTGTGTTCCACCTGGTTTTACCCAGTGGTCAGCCCGGCGTATCTGACTCAGAAGCTCTGGTGTTTCACAGTTAACTCCAGTTGTAGCTAGGTTGCTACCTCCGTTAGCTTAGCACCCACTTCCGCATTAGCTTTGGGTTAGCTTCAGGTTAGCTTGTAGCTAGTTGACCGGGTGTCGTCAGTTGATCCCAGCCTTACAGCCCCACCCTCAGTTCCTCCTCTCTTCCCTTTTGTGGAATTGTCTGGGCTTGACGGAACCTGTGACACGGTCAAAATGGCGGTGGTGGCCACCTCCCATTTGGCCTCAAAAACGTGTTATTGGAGTCTATGGAAACCCATTGTCCAATATTTATATGTCGATGGTTGTACTGCAATTTAAATGAAAAGTAATGATGGGCGTTTCAACCACGCCAGTCACGTACCTTGAGATTTATTTGCTTGTAAAAGTTCGTAATTAGCATGACTACAACTTAGACATTGGTGCTTTATATATGTGATGTCACCACAGAATCTCCTCTCCCCTAGCGTAGCTGCTGCTGACCACATGACCAGATTTATGGTGGCTCGTTCCTCCTGAAGGAAGGATTTGAAGTTTGCTGAACTTGCAGCCATTCCCCTCTGTTTTTCTCCGTGTCTGGTTTGATGACATCACTTTTGTGAAGCGCAATTGTAGTCCTGGACTTATTTTCACACAAAACCTAAAATAGCGTATCCCCCATTCTAAAATAAGCATAAATTCATGAGTAAAATATTTACCCGTTTCTATTTATTCACAAAGAGGGGAAATTATTTTCCAGGAACACTCAAACATTTCCAGGACATTTTCCTTTATTTATTTTTTTTTTATTTCTATGTGTTTTCCATGACTGGAAAATTGGTATAAAATTTTCCAGGTTTTCCAGGACACGTGGGAACCCTGAAAGGTAATAATTTTTAATGTTTATGATAATTGTAATTGTTCAGTTTAAGAAAAAAAGTGAAAGTAATACGTCACCTGCAATAAGGGGAAACTTTGCTTTGGGCTGGTAAGATTCTGAATAAAAACTAGATAATTCTGCTACACTACAAGAAAAGGCTTGATGTTGTGACTGAGTAGATTTATTTATCTAATCTACATTTAAAATATATATGGTGGTGCAGTTGTTAGCACTGTTGCCTCGCAGCACGAAGGTTGTAGGTTCGAAACTCAGCTGTGGCCTTTCTGCGTGGAGTTGCGTGTTCTCCCCATGCATGCGTGGGTTTCCTCTGGGTACTCCGGTTTCCCCCACAGATCACAACATGCCCTATAGGTTATAAACTGTAAGTCGCTTTGGATAAAAGCATCTGCCAAATAAATAAACATAAACATAAAAATGAGTGGACCTCTACATGGCCACACATCACCAGAGGGAGCCTCAACACACACTACTTATGTGCAATATGCCGTGTTGAAGACACGTGCTGCCACCAGGGTGTTGCAGGTATAGTGGGCCACATTAAAAGCAAAAGTCATCAGGACAAGCAACGGGCTCTCCAATCTACAGCTTCAATTTCCCAACATGCAGTGTCCTCTCCTTCTGTTGGGGGAATGTCCAACCAAGAAAAAGAATGAAAGAAAACAAAAATAGACAAATTAAAATCACGAGGCGCTTCACAAAAACATAACATTTTAAATATAAAATGAATTTTTTATTTATAAAAAATATGTTCAAAATCACATAAAATAAAAATTGTAATTACAAAATGTAAGGAAAGGAAGAGAGAAAATGACTAGGAAAGAGGGAAATTGGTAGATTCTGGGAAAGGTGGAATAAGAATAGAATAAGGAGAGGGTGGTGAGAAAGGTCACGCAAAAACCAGCCTGAACAGGTGAGTCTTCAGCTGATTTTTAAAGGAGACCACTGAGTCCACTGATCTCAGGCTCAGGGGGAGAGAGTTCCAGAGTCTGGGGGCCACAGCAGCAGATGATCTGTCACCTTTGACCTTTAGCTTGGTGCTGCGCAACCAGTAGGTTTTGGTTACTGGACCTCAAGGACCTGCTGGGGGTGTAGGGACTAAGAAGATCACCAATGTATGATGGTGCTTGTCCATGTAAGGCCCTATAGACCAGAACCAGGATCTTGAAATGAACCCTGAAGTTGACTGGCAGCCAGTGAAGCTGGAGGAGAAGCGGGTGATGTGGGTGTGTTTGGAGGACTTGGTCAGAAGCCGAGCACAGGCGTTCTGAACCACCTGTAGACGGTTCAGGGAGGTTCTGCTCAGACACGTGAAAAGAGAGTTACAGTAGTCTAAGCGTGAGGAGATGAAGGAGTGGAGAACTGTCTCAAGTTCAGAGCGGCAAGATCTCCTGTAACTTAAAATAAACTAAAGCTTCCTCCCAGTTTCTCTTTAAGCTGAATTTAACATCAGTTTATCATCATGAAACAAAAGAATAAAGTGGAACAAAAACTTCTATCTTCTATTTCTCTCTCCTTTTAACTTCTCCGTGTCCCTAAATATAAGAGACATCACAGCACTCGGTCTGACTGAGCGCTTCCAGGAGAAACAATAACGAAATTATGGAAATAATAATGCGTGTTTGGAAGAGCGTCCTCCGATCCTCTCTCTTTTGTGAGTAGACAACCCCCCCCCCCACCCCCCACCCCCACCCCCACGTGACAACCCGCTCAATTAGCATAATTCACGGTCCAAATCCAACAGAACCAGTCGAGCTGATTTGGTTCGGGTTCGGTCTCAGGTTACAACTCCAACGTTCAGCCCTGCAGTACCACATAAAGGAGGATTATGATTATGTAGGACAGAGCTGAGGAAAATAATCAAATAATCAATGCATAATCAAGATGCAGGCATAAACGATTCTGCATCATAGAAGGGTACGTCATAATCAATTATAGTGGAATGTAGTTTTGTTATTTTAATGGCGGCACCAGCGCAGCATCCAAATCTGTCAGAGCGGTGTTCTCCACATTTACTTGGTAGGAAACTTTGGTCCTCCCTTATGTGGTACTGCAGGGCCGAGCGCTGGAGGTGTACCCTGAGACCGAACCCGAACCAAATCAGCTCGTACCCTTCTATGATGCAGAATCGTCAATGCCCGCATCTTGATGCATTGATTATTTGATTATTTTCCTCAGCTCTGTCCTTCACCTCCCGGTCGGCCTCAGGGGTGGGGGTAGGGGGTGCGCGCAGGGTTCGGGGGCTACAAAGAGAGGGCTCGCAGGCCGGACGTGGCCCGCGGGCTGCCTATTGAGTACCGCTGATTTAACTTATCCCTGTTTTGCCTGTTCCCATCAACTCTTGCTGCTGGCTCAAAACTGAATGGCTGTGCATCTTCAGTATTTAACATAAAGTGCATGTTTGTTTCAGAATCTGGAGCTTTGTGCTGCTGCTGCTAATTACTTTTTTTTTTTTTTTTAGCAGAGTCAGGAATGTTTTCCTTGAGCAACGTCACTTCCAGTTTCCAGCAAGAGGTGCTGTTTTTAGACGGATGAGCTAGGAGAGCCTGGTTGGAACAGTAATAGCTCCTTTTATTTTCAAGATCTTCCTTTTTCAAAATAAAAATGTTAAGTTTAGACCTGTTACAATATAAGGACTTCAACATGTGTTTGATGTGGAAGACGCACTTTCAAGGGTTGGATTGGGGGCTAAACCGCCAAATAGTTCCTGAACGTGGCCACTGCTGCAGCTCAACACTCCCCACGGGGATGCGTTAAATGCGGATATTAATTTTACCAGTGTGTGATGACTAATGAGGCTTTAACTTTGGTTCTAATGTATATGTGCTCTATTTTTTCTTGTGTATCTTTAAACTTAACCACATCCTTCTAAAAGTATTATTAACTTATGTTCTAACAGACCAGAAGAGCTGAGGTAAAAATGACTGCAACTTTAGTAGGACACTGGTATTTGCTGATCACCTGGGGCCTTCACTGAGAGGGTCAAAGACTCTAAAGCAGCTCAAGAATACAGGTGTGCTTCGACAAAAGCTTTGTGTTTGGGCCAATGACGTACTGGTCCCACACTTTACTGAGGAGCTGCTGTCAAAAACGAAGCAAGCAGCATAAACCTTGATAACAGATGGCTCAAATGACACAGATATTTTCCCCAAAAAATGTTTGTTTGATATTTTTCTCCTTAATAAAAATCTACCCTAATTTTGCACTAAATGTATATGAAGAAGACTTTAATGCTTTATTGTTTTTATTTCAGGAATAGAGAAGATGAACCCATTAACTGTCTGCATAATGATGAATTTGGCCATTGCTTTCTCAGCATGTCCACTACCAGCGGGAAGAGATGTGGAACAGCAGATGTTATTTTCTCAAAACTAAATGCCATCCTAGAGGAGGGATTTCCTTGGCAACACTGTGTGGGTCTATCTGTAGACCACACATGTCAAAGTCAAGGCCTGTGGGCCGGATTCGGCCCACAAATGAATTATCTATGGCCCTCGGGATGATATTTGATTAGTATTTGAACCAGGCCCCCACAATGCGGGTGAAAAATTGGGCCCAACCCGGAAGTACCAAAAATTGCAGTTCCACCCTCATCCGCTGCATGGGGGCTGGTATCAGAAGCGAGCAAATCCTCATTGACTCCCATGTTAAAAATACCAATTTCACAGTAGAAATAATTTTATTTTATATAGATTTATTCTATATTTTTTCATTTTACTAGTTGAAGCAGTAATTGGTAGGATAATAGAGCAGCACAATATTGCATTTTCAGTTTATAATGCATGCAGTTTCATTTATGCATTTATCTTGATGTAAGGAACATATTTTGTTTTTGAAGGAAAATTGCTTTTTTGCTGTTTGCCTGTTGAAAATGTTTTCTTTTTAACTTACTGACAGAGCCATAAGAAAATATTACTTTATTCGTACAGGACATGTGATTTTTCTTTGAAGGCAGTTTGTTCTTGTCTGTGTGCCTGCTGAAAAATGTTTTCCCGATTATTGATTTAATCATTAAATAATACACTGTGTTAGGTCTTGGTTCAATAGGCTATGTGCAATCATTTCAATATGTTTTAATAAACATTGAACCAGTCCGGCCCTCGGCTTATAGCCAATTTGTTTTTTTGGCCCTCTGTGTATTTGACTTTGACATCCCTGCTGTAGACAATGCTGCTGTAAACATTGGTCAACACAACTCCATCGCCTCCAGAGTCCGAGAGAAGCACCCAGGCATTTATGTTCATGGCTGCACAATTCATGTTGCTCTTAGCACTGCAGAGTCTCCTGGTGCAGGCTTTTTTGAAGTCAGCATTGGGCTGATGGAATTTTGCTTTCAATTGTATTCCTCTGTACTGATGACATGCATGGATATGCAACGTTCAACCAATCCTGTATTGCAGGTATTCAATTTTGATTTGGAGGACCTGGTAGCTGATATTGGCTACTGGTTCTAGGGCAGTACTAATGGAAAAGGGTACTTGACAGGTGTGCATTTGACAACAAATTATTACATTAGCTTACAGAACATTAAAATACTTACAATTTATTATGAAATATAATAAGAGAGTTTTGTGAGCGACATGAAAGTGAGTACATGGAGATCCTCATGCACATCTCCGTTCATTGAAGTCTTAAGAACTGTGTAACTCAGATTCTGAGACTGTATGACACCCTGGCCAGCCACTTCAAATCTGCTAGTTTGGTGTCTTTCATAATTTTCATTATGCAGCTACCAATAAAAGGTCACTGTACACTCGTATTACTGACTACCTTGGATTTTTTATTGTTTTATTCAAGATGAAAAGCAGGCGAGGTTCAGAAGACTTCAGGCAGCATTCACTGACCTCGTGACTGAGGTGTACCGACTGTTCACCAAACTTAACCTTCTCCTCCTTCGACAGCAGTCATCTATATTTTTATTACGATGAGGTACAATCAGAGAACATAAGTCTACTGGGACCTCTTCTCTTTGCCATACACACCACCTCATTGGGTGAGATCATTCGATCCCATGGCTTCTCCTACCACTGCTATGCCAACGACACCCAGCTCTAGTCATTCCAGCCGGATGACCACACAGTCTCCGCACAAATCTCAGACTGTCTCTCTGACATATCAAGATGGATGAAATCTCACCATCTCTAACTCAACCTCTCAAAAACTGAATTACTTGTCATCCCAGCAAAACCATCCGTACAACACAATATCTCTGTCCAAAATGATTCTCCTTATCTCTGGCTCCTTCAAAGGCAGTTCAAAATTTGGGTGTTGTGATTGAGGACCAGCTGACCTTTAAAGATCACTTTGCCTCTGTCGCTTGTTCATGCCGTTTCATGCTGTAAAACAACACAATATGCCACCCAGCGTCTGATGCAGTCTACTGTCATCTCCCACCTCAACTACTGCAATGCCCTTCTAACTGGTCTACCAGCCTGTACTGTGAGACCTCTTCAAATGGAACAGTACATCTGGTCAGCCTAAAAGAGCACATGCTACCCCTCTGTTCACTGAGTTCCATTGGCTATCGTTAGCTGCAAGCATCAAATTCATGTCGCTAACAGTAATTTGTTAATATACCAATATTAACAGCTTTCTACAGCTGAATGAAGATAAGACTGAGA